TCTCTCTCTCTCTCTCTCTCTATCTTCTCTTTCTGCGCCTCCGGGGGCCGATGCACTTCGATCGCATCATTGGGCGCAGCGATGGTGCACCTCTCGTCGCTTTGCCCCAGTCCTGCTGGACGTGGCTAATTACTTTCACATCGCGCCTCATTGTTGCCCGCCACGGACGTGCCGTTGATTCGGCGATTGACGCTTTTCCTGGCTTATCCATCAACCAAGCACGCCCGCGGCAACTGCAGCGCGTTGGTACCGCAGGTGCATGTATCCACTATACAACGTCACTTTCCATAGGATATCCGTGATAGCCTCGCAGTAGCTACAAGCTGTGAAGGCTTGTCTACACTACATGGAGTAAGTTTGGCATAAGGAATAAGAAACAAATCTAATTTATTTCACTTATACATCATATACATCTAAACTCTAACTCCCCTACACCGAAAGTATTTATTTGACAGATAAGCTTTTGGCATAAATAAATTATTTTTTATTGCTTACTCCATATACTCTTACTCCTTACGCCAAGCTTACTCCGCGCATTGTAGACAGTCGCTAAGACTGCGAATTCACATCCTGGCAGAAAAGTCGCGAAAACAAAAGCAGAAACCAATCAGAGCTCGGGCTGGCGGAACAACAGAAACTATCAACTGTTCAGCTGATCGTCAGTCTGAGTTCTGATTGGCTTCCGCCTTCTCTGCCAACGTGTGAATTCTCTCTTACGCCACGATGATGATGTTGGCAAGAAGAGGCGCGCGGAAGAGAGCGCCGGGGATCGTCGAACACTCGTCGCTGATCGCGCGTCCTCGCGTTGTGTGCTTTCAGAGAAAGTGCTGATCAGCAGGCTGACCACCCAGAAGTGGCTGGACGTCGGGCAGGAGTGGACCGTGGACGAATACAGTAGTGCCCACGCGCGGATGGAGTACGAGTACCGCGTGAGGTGCGTGGCTCACTACTACGGCAAGGGCTGCGAGAACCTGTGTCGGCCGCGAGACGACAGCTTCGGTCACTACAGCTGCAGCCCGACCGGGGAGCGCGTCTGCCTCACCGGCTGGAAGGGCGACTACTGTAACTTTCGTAAGTTTCATTACACATTATACGCACGATCACGCATTTTTCTCATCGCGACTGCACGCGCGCCGGTCATTACCGTCACGTCTCTCCTCGCGTATCATCGAAATCGCGGTCTTCCCGGACACTGTTAAATGGCAATTAGCAATTGCTAGTGAATCACGCGCACGGATACGGGAAGGAGAGAAAGTGTCGGGGGATTTCAGAGAAATTATTCATTAGCGTAATGATACGTGCGACCGTCTCAAGGAAGAATTAATCATTCGACATTACAATATACAGGGTGTGCCGCGAGGAAATCGACAAACTTCTATAATGCGTCCTAGAGGTCGTTCTAAACTAAAAGATATGAAGAATTCAACTCAGCGAAATTAATTGGCGGCAGTTTATGACACGAGTGGCAAGATGTTTGCGAGCAGAATGGTACTTTTTGTCTTTTGTAAAAATTCATATAATTTTTCGTATCTCGATAACTGGGTCGGATTGACTTATAGTGGGTGTGCATGTGAATTTTTCTGCTCTAGAATACATTGCAGAATACATCGTCGGTTTCCTCGCGAGATACAAAATGGGAATTATGAATATCTCGCGAATAGAACAGAGTGGCACATCAGCGTCGCGCTCGCGCACACGCCGAGACTCGCGTCGCGATGGACGATTATCCAATCGAGATCTCTCGATTCGGCTTCGATCCCTACCTGGCGCTGGCGCGGTCTCGCGAGTTGTGCCGCGCGGTTATTAACAGGCAGCAGCAGGCCGCGTTTTGCCTTCCACGATTCCTATCGACGTCGAATATGCACGCTACCTCGGTAAACGACGATACTCCCGCGAATCGACGGCCGCGCCGTCGAACGTTCCTCTCCTCGCCTCGCCTCGCCTCGCTATCCTGCCGCGTTCACCTCCTCCGCTCCGTCGGAGAGCCCGGCGTCTCGCCGGCGAAGGAGAGGCCCGTTGCTGCAGCGCGCGCGGTGCAACGCGGTGCAGCCGAGACTCGAAGCGTGCAGCAGCTTCCCACGCTTGGTTCGCGCGTGTGCGCGAATATCTCCTTCCTTCTCTCTCTCTCTCTTTCTCTCCTCGTTCGCTCCTCTCTCTCTCTCTCCCCCTCTTCCCTTCCTCTCGTCCTCTCCTCACGACCCGACTGCAGCATCCCTCTCCTTTTCACTCTTCGCGTACCTGCGAGAGCCGACCGAGAACTAATCTGTGTGCACGTGTAATGATCCGAGACTGTGTGAGCGAAGGAGTCGACCAGGCGAAATCTGCCTTCGTGTGTGGCTCTCTCTGTCTCTCTCTATCTCATTCTCTCTCTCTTTCTCTCTCATTTCTTTCTCCTTTCTCTCTTTCGCTCCCTCGACTCGACCGAGACTCTGTGCGAGTCGAACAGAGGATGGTCGTCGTGCCTGTTGGCGAAGTCAGTTGCCAGAAGCTTCTGGCCTCTTGGATATGTACAGGTACGTGACACCTGGTGGTGCCCGACTGCGTGTTGTACCTGTAGGTACTACAAAAGATGGTTTCACTCGCGGGAGGAAGCGGCCCCGCTCTTTTAGTTCTTTGGGGAAGTCGAACCCGCCAGATTGCCGAATTGTCTGGCGGGACAATAGCTTCGATGCCATCCCGCGCCGGGAAAGGAAGCGACGTGGGTTGAAGCACGATACGATACGGTGAAACGCGGGATTTCGGAATGAATTGGCACTGGGGTAAATTGCAGGCGTTCTCAGAATCTCAGGTGGCTATGTGTGATAGCCTGAATATTATTGGCACAATAATATTACGAACAATCAAAATGCGCGATAACAATCCCGTCTTTTAGATTCGAGACATATCACTTTATTTATTTGTTTATTTTACTTCGAGAAGTTCGAGAGATCTATCTCTATAAATTTTTCTCTATAAATAAATTCCTAAACAAAGCTATAAATTTTCTCCATAAATGAAGTTATGTAATCTCGCGCGCGATCGTTTGCGTTTTTACACGCGACCGGCACGTTTCTCCCGTCGCAGTGTGTACACGAAATCGCGGGTCGATAAGCACGAGTTGTTCCAAAGTCGGAGAGCCCGCGTACCCCGACCTTCAAGTTCCGCAATAAACGAAAGTCGCGCGAGCGTGATTCGGTTACTTATGTGCGAAACGACCCGCCGACGTCTCCGCCTTGAACGCGCTCGGCGAGGAATGTCTGGGTCTTTCTGCGAGCTTTTCTGCGCGCATGCCAATTTCTCGCGGATCCCGAATTCCAGGCTTCCTTCTCGGTTCGGATCGAGGCGAACGAGCGATCGATCGATCGCAAGCGAGCGAGCGAGCGAGCGAAGGCTCGCCCTGTGGGGCCCATTGGTTCCCTGGGTCGTTGCACTCCCCTCGACGTCGGCTCGTGACCGCCGATCGACAAAGTTCGCGCGTCGATTACTAATGAACTACTCCGATCTTCATTTCGTGGACATTCCCCGCCATTCGGTGAATCAGTTGCGCACGCACGGCGATGCGTGCCGCGGTTACATCGTGGCGATTTTGTGGCTACGTGACAAAACGTAGCAGTCCTTCTCTCATCCCACGTTGAGAATCGCTCGGACCACTTCTTCACACCTGCTTAAGCTCCGATGCTCTTAATGCATTTCCCGATCGTCCCACGTATACAAAGGGACGAGCTCTCTGCGGATTCTGAGTCTTTCAGCGACCCTGACAAAGCACTGAGAGAAAAAGTTTTGCTAATTCAACAAAATACCAGTATTTATGACAACAAGTGGTTGTTGATGTGGGACAGCAAATGTAGTAGTTCTCGTAGTGGAAACAAATGATTTGTTACTTTCAATTTGCTGTTCGAAGTAACACTTCTATAATGGAGACATAACTAATCCAACCTAGACAGATGAGAATAATGTGATTTGTATCTCAGGCGATATGTATGTTTGTTAAAATGACAAATGATGAGAAATTATTCGCAATGATAACTGTTTGATCTGTTTACTCAACGATCATCAAGCAATAAATGTGCTTTTGTTCTGATAATAGAGGAATTTTTCTCAATGTATCATATCCTATGGTACCAGAAATAAGTAGAGCTTAATGTAACACTTCTAAAACTTATTGAAACGAAGTAAAGTTAATATTTGTTGTTAATATGTCCAAAAAGAAGAGGAAAAATAAGTCCTCTATAATTTTTACATTCTCTGGTATTATGGAAGAAAATGAGATTTAATATAGAAATCAGTGTGAGATGGGAATAATAATAGTCTCGTTAAATAATATATCTCGTTTCTAATTTACGTCACACTTTTTCAGTGACGTAAAAGGAGGAAAGATGAAAAGAGAAGGAGTGGTTTCGAAACGCGTTCCCCTGAATGACGCGACGCGAAAAAAGGCGTCGGTTGGTGGTCGTTGCGTTGCCGCAATATTCCATACGATTATGCAGTCTAATGAGAAGTGGCAAAATCACTGTCGCGCTCGCTCGGGAAGCAGTCGGCCGCAAAACGCCGGGAAATACGACGATTTAAATCACGAGCAGCGGACTCTCCTTCGGAACGAGTCTCGCGAGAACAAAAGGACTTTCACTCCTTCGGAATCTGTTAAGACAGAAACATCCGCCAGATATATCTCGCGCTCTACTTGGTCACTTCCGCGTCACATCCTCCAAAATCCCCATTCTTTCTTTTATTTTTCTTTTCTTTCATATACCACACTATTACACTTTCCTTACTAGTCGCACTGCTGAGATCAACAGAAATTTCGCGAAAGATCTCGCGACTTTTACGAAGAAGCAATTGTGGAAGCATTTATTTTAATTACAGATATCTTCTCACTACTGTTCTTCTTATTACGGTTATCTTCTCGAAGTTAAATTGCGTAACATGCAAACGTTTCGTTAAATCATTGCAATATCTCTCATCTCGATCTGTGCAAGGAAACAATTGTTTTTTTCCCAAAGATCCGCGACTGTAACAGAAACCTGTCGCTCTAACCTCGTGTCTCTTCACTTTCTTGCTTAGATTTCCGCCCCAAAGAGAGAGAGAGAGAGAGAGAGTGTGTAAAAGAAACTCATCATCAGGGCACCAGCCTCGCGGCTGAATCGCGCACTCTCGCTCTCGTTGCGCGGTCGCTTCGATCGCGCGACGAGGAGAACGAGGCTTAACTCTCTCCCTCGTTAACCCCGTCGCGAAAGGGTTGGCCAGGTCGGTGGGTTAAGAATAGGTGGTCGCGCTGCAGGCAGTCGGCGTTCTCTTTCGGGGGTGCACCGCCCGGGGACGATGTTATGCAGGGGTTGCGCGCGGAGAGAAGGAGGAAGGGAGAGGGAGAGAGGCCGGGAGAGAGAAAGAGAGACAGAGCAGCTGCAATGGCACGACGACGCGGCCCGAAAGAGAAGGAGGTCCGTGCGAGTCGGGCCCTGACAGCTGCACCGAGCGAGAGGTCGGTGCTTTAACCAACAGCTGCGTTGGACTCGCGCGCTCGTTCACAGTCCACTTCCATCCCGGCTGCTCCTCCATCCCCCTCGCCTTCCTCCCTCCTCTCTCTCTCTCTCTCTCTTTCTCTTTCTCTATTATCCCTCCATACGGACGACCATGTTTTTCCGACGCTTGTCCTTCGCGCTCTTGCTGTCCCTCTGTCTTATATCCCGCTACCTGGCCGAGTTTTCTAGTTAACAGGCAGCTCACGTCGGTCTGTTTTGGAAACGTTTAGCTCCTAGGTTCATGTATTACGCCGCTACAAGTGCGTGCCGTTTGGTGGGAAAAAAACTACGTTTTAGGTCTTTTCCTATTCTTTTTTTTTTTCTTTTTTTTTTGAATGAATGGTGACTGGTTTCGGATATGGCGGTGTCGTTAACCGGAAATCCAAGAACCATTGTTCACTGTGTGAGAAAACTTCTGACTTCTGTGAGTCTTAAATAAGCGGTCAAGTTGTCGTAAACTCGTAGAACCTCGGGATTTCCTTTCATATTCATGGTCGTTTCATAGTGTGAGAATCGTCGTGTCTTACTATCAATACTAGCTGACTGACTGTGCTGTTTGGCCGACCGAATTCCGACCAGAATTGGCACTAATTCGTCGCTTTTGCGCGTCACAATGCGGCAGGTACGCCACAACTACTGGTATTACTCTCGCTCCCCCTCCCTCCCCCTCTCTTTCGCTCTTTCTCGACGAGAGCGCGTGGTGTTGTTCGCTGGCAAGAGGCGAAGGGGGTGGTCGGTGCCCCGCTTTACCGGGGGCCGGTGCTCGCTCGCGACCGTTTCGACGAAGGGAAATCGGTTGGCCGGGGATAGAAAATCAATAAGTACGTTGCGGAACCGGGGGAATTCGGGGTGCACACCGGCTGACTGCGTATGTGCCTCTCTATCTCTCTTTCTCTTTGTCTATCTCCGTCTATCTTCCTGGTCGGGATCGGGCATTTAAAGGGAACCGGTGCGCTCTGTACAAGTCAGCAGGCTCGTCGAGGAATATCACTTGCGACTGGTTTATGAGGTTTTTACTTACTAGCCTGCACACAGTTCTCTCTCTCTCTCTCTCTCTCTCTCTCTCTCTCTCTCTCTCTCTCTCTCTCTCGACTGAGACTCGCGCTGTTCATCTTTTCACGACTACATCCGAAAGTCGCATTGACTTTTTCCCCACTCGAACGACGCTGATATCAGTTCCGAGATTTATAGGCGAGCGAGTCGACAGAACCGCGTCTGGGATTTCGCTTTTATAATACGAATCAACACATATGCATTGGATCGAATCAACTAACTGGAGCTCGACGGAATATTAATCACCAGCTCAAGCTGATGACGTGAAAATGAGAACGGGGTAGTTAATATCGACCAATTAAAATTCATCATAATAATCTCAATTACGAGCAGAATGCATAACCGTCAGAGTGAAATTGGATAATTATTGTTATTCCGTGTTTCGTTATTACGAGCCCTGACCTGATAATTAATTTCCATCGTTTATAATGCTTCATAAAGAGGTCCGCGGAATACAATCCGCAAAATCGTTTCCTCTCTCTCTCTCTCTCTCTCTCTCTCTCTCTCTCTCTCTCTCTCTCTCTGTTCCAAGAGTTCGAGCAAATATTCATTATCCTCAACCTCGTAACATTGCGAGCTAATAATACAGTAATAATCTATCGCTGATATTCCATTCCAATGTATTCTGAACAATATCCGATTTTTTGAGGAATTGCGCGTATCGCGTCGGGCGAAATTCAGGGGAGAGAATCTTCCATTTCTTCTTTCTCGGCTCTCCGGGCCGTTCCGACGAACTTCGAGGGCCCAGAGTTTCGCGATGGGAGAGAACGGACACCAGGCGGATTTATGACCCACCTCGCGAGGATTTATCTCGAAAAATCGCACAGTCGCGGATCGGCCGTAAATAATCCTCCAGGGGCAAGATTTGTCGCGGCTTACGAGATTTGTTTAGTCACTCGTTCCACCGCGCTCCTTCCTACCTACCTACCTACCTTTCTCCCTCCCTCCCTCCCTCCCTCCTGCCTCCTCCTCACCAGTTAGGACCTTTCTTCTTTCTTCGTCTTCCTCCTCCTCCTCCTTTCTGCTCTTCCCTTTTCTTCCCGGCAACGGTACAAAGAAAAGATGGTATATCCAAGGAGCGCGCAGCAGATAGATAGATAGAGAGAGGGAGAGAGAGGCGTAGGGTCGTGGAATCTTTGCGATTCGGTCGTCCGTCGACGATACACCGGCGGCGGCGCGAAGGGGACCTGAAGAAGAGACTGTGGCGGCACCGGCGGCGGGGCCGAGGGGTCGTATCTCGCTCTCTTCGCTCTATAAATACCATACTCCTTAGCGCGGCGATGCCGCGCTGTGCCGTGCCATGCTATGCTATGCCATGCCATGCCATACCGTGCCGTGCCATGCCATGCCATGCCATGCCACGCTACACCACGCTATGCTACGCTGCGCCGAAGTCCGGCCGCGGCCGGCCGGCGAGTAAGTAAGAGAGTCGGGCCGTTGCGCTCGGTGCCAAGGTCACGCGGCCCTCGCTGGCCCTCACCGGCCCTGCCTCGCGAGTGTGCCTTGCCCTCGCGCGTCCTCGTCGTGCCTGCCTGCCTGGCTGGTTGGCTGCTTGGGCCGCGCGGAAACGTTGAACCGCCGCCGTCGTCGTTCTCAACCCCTTCATTCATCGCCACCGAGCGCGCACCGGTGCTTTCCTCGGCTTCCTTATCCTTTTGTGATTATCTCTCTCGCGGTCGAAGTTTGGCCAACGTTACGCGACAATGACACCGTGCAAATGACAACACTGTTCCAACAGTTTCCCTGCCCAGTCGTCGACTTCTCTTTCAAAGTACCGATGCATCCGCGAAGGCACGCGGGCCACACGTTGTGAAATTCGCGAGCGACCGCGGCCGCGAGACGAAGCAACAACACACGTGTCGCCAACAAAGGGCCAATTAAACCGGCTGACGAATGTACAAAGAGTGGTGTCGGAGGTCGCATTCATTTACCGTGGCGTTGGGCGCGCGATGTCCGGTCGGGATGTCGGGAGGTCTGCCGAACGATCCGGCGTGTCGCGCCGCGAAGGAGTCAATATCGCGGCGCGAGAGTGAGCGGAACGCGCGCGAAGGAAGATCGTGATCGTGAGTCGGTGCGATCTCGCGCGCGCGCGACCTCGTCTGGTCTGGTCCCGCCATCCCTGAGGTTGGAAGACGCGTTGCAGGTCAGTCGACGGGCAAAGAATCCCAACTCGCAACTCCTCGCATACTTGCACGCGGTGCGTGCAACGCGCCAGCGATTGATCGCCGCAAGGGCAATGGAATTGTGTCACGTGTCGCCGGCCCGCGATGTGTGTCCAGTCCGCAAATATCCGCAAGGGGGACCCTCGGTTGGCCTGTAGCCATGAACGCAGTTCTGCGACATGGTTCGCGCACGCGGTCTCTTCACACCCACAGGATTCGTCCGACGTCACCGTGCGTGATCGGAGAACACCGGTAAAACGTTGCCGAGTCGCGCTCGTCCCACGTGGCGAGCGACGCGTCTCTCTTTCTCTCTCTCTCACTCATTCTCATTCCTCGCTTTAAGTGACCCGCATCCGGGGTCCGACCAGAGAGGTCGTTATGCTGCTCCTTGAATTCGACCGAGTCGTTTGTTACGGTCGCTCGATAAGGAAATGAAATACGCACCTTTCGTCTCGTCGCCTACCGCCACCTGTTAACACCCTTCCATTTCCTGTATTAATTATTGTTATCGTAGCGTTAGTAGCCGAGGGGAATGAACAGAAAGAGGCATTCGCGTGGTATTCGCTGAGATACAGCCGGTTCGGCAGGTAAAAGTGCAAATGACGTGGCAATGAATAGAAACAAGCGAAAATTCAATTCCAATCACTTGTTAGTCGCAAATTCCTCCGCAGAATTACATCGAGCGCTCCTAGTTGTCGTAATACGGAGATAACGAAGGCGAGGAAACCCCCCCCCCCTCTCTTGATAAAGCGCCACAAAGTTGAAAGAGCCAAAGAGAGTCGAACTACCGTACGCGCGCCGCTGTATATGCATGCATCGGATGTATCGTACCGGTATTGCGCCGCTCGTGCAGTCGTGAGGGACGCGATCGACCTCTCGCCGAGAGTTGCCTTAACCTCTTGGATTTTTTCTTACTCATTTCAGCCCGCTGCCTGCCCGGATGCGACGAACAGCACGGACACTGCCAGCAACCCAACGAATGCTTGTGAGTACACATATACTTAACACGTATATATCCGTGAAAAAAAAAAAAATATATATATGTATTGTTGTGTATATACATATACACACATATATGTGCAAACAGTGCGCCTCACCTACACACGTGCGCCCGCCTTGCCTCTGCCCCGTACAACTGCCAACTAAATTCCTGAGCCTCGATCCGGTGCATCCGCTTCTATATGCGCCGCGGCGCGGCGCGTACGCGTGTGTACGCGCGATAATAATTACGCGCATATCTATCGTAAATTATCGTTCGGCGCTTTCGAAGAAAGCGCGCGCTCGCTCCCGCATCGGGGTCGTCATGATTCCGCCGGTACCTGTCTTTCCTGCGCGATGTCACGGAGCTGTCCTGTTCCAACGCGAAATGCCGAAACGCTCCTGCCAAGAAACACACCGTGGTGATCTACCAGTGCTCGTACCTGTTCAACATCTACGCACCTCCGATCGTGCGCAGCGCTGTGCCCGGCGCGTAAAACTGGGTGTACACTGAGCGACGAACGAATAGCGAACGTGTGAAATACTTTTGCATCCATCTTAAACTCTCTCTTTGATAAACTGCAATCTTTTCGTCGAATAAAAACGCAGTCGCTCGTACGGTGTGCGCTCAGCTGAACGCATTGCAAATCTGAAGAATCGGAAAAAAGGTTTGGTTGGGTTAAGCAAATTTCTGGTAAAGTATGAATGTAACAGAAATTCCGGTTGTAGTGATCAGAATTCAAATTAAGATTCTGATTAACCAAAGCTTGCAACTGTTTCAAGCAGTTGCAAAATTCTGTTTAGCCAAGGATGATTTCCTGGTTAACCAGAATTTGCAACTGTTTAAAATTGGATAGTTGCAAAATTCTAGTAATATCAAATTAACCGTTTCTGGTAATCAGAACTTGTTGAATAGAATTCTGACATCAACTGAAATTTTTTGGTTCGTACATATTTCACTAGATATTCGGTTGATGCAACCCGATTTTTTGCGTAGAGCCTTCTGAGACCGTGAATCGTGGATATCGGAATCCCGTTCGGCGACTAATTCCGAGTTAATGATGTCAATTAACGTGGCGTGTTCCGCACCGTGTTACTCGCGAATCGGTGCGCGCATCATCATCCTCATCGTCCTGAGACTCTACTGCAGCCGCACGCAACACTCTCGCGTTGCGCATTATCGTTCGCATATTTTCGCAACGCGCCTCCTACGACGAGCTCGCGCATACTCGCGGTCAGGAAGGACCAAATGGAATTCGAAGCTTCTCCGGGCGCCTTCCCGTTGCAACGAGGCAGTTCCTGAGGTGCCAATCGTTCCTGCCCTTTCCTCCTTCGACTCGCGTTTCCCCCGCACCACCTACTTCTCCTCTTCCTCCTCCACCATCTCCTTTTCCGCCACTTTTCCCCTCCTCGTCACTCCTCTCCTCTCTGCGCCTCGCTCCTCGTGTCGTTGAACTTTCCGACTTAATTCGTCGCTTCGCGAAAACTTCGGGATCCTCGGCTTCCAATCGGGGAGAATCGTTCGCTGTTACTTCGGCTTAGTTCGGCATCCACGCGTCCCGTAAATCTGGCACGGAGTATCTTGGCAGTTCAATCCCTATCACGAACTCCACGACGTATTTCCGAGCCAGAGTCTTCTACCGCGAAAGTGCCTTCGGGAAAAATATCGCAAAGTCATGATCTCGCGGCTGCTTAATATTCGCGGTTCAATGTGAAACGTTGCGGGCCAATCTCGCTGCAAGAACACGAGCGCGAAACGCATTTAGGATCGTGCAATTATCCGTCGTGTCATCTAGGATCGTGGCCTCATTCGCGAATGCGTCAGAATGCCACGCGTTTCGAGACATCGCGCGTCGTGCCGGCACGTCGGACTCGAATCTCGGCCTACGGTCGGCGTTAACCCGAGGGTTTGGAGTTAACTCGATCATCTAATTACTTTACCACCGGGGTTAATTGTCCCGTTAGCCGCAGCCATGAGTTCGCCTGTTGTTTTCTCCTCTCCGCGCGGCTCGTCAGTCTCGATATCACTCGCTAACCCTCGACATTTCTGCAAACTTCAAAATGAAAATATGTAAATATTTGCACATACACCGTGTGTTGCGATTTTTCCTGTTTCTGACCCTGACCTATGAATCACTCGAGCAATCTCAAATCCCCTTTTCGCAGTAATAATATTTCAAGTTTCATTTTTCTTTTCGCCATTCTTGAAAGATATTCTCACATGTCAAATCAAGACACACTTTTGTGAGTTTATATCGAAAAAATATAATAATATATATATATTTTATATATATATAAAATACTATATTTTGTTATATAATATTTATTTATAGTAAATAATTATTTATTAACAATAATTATTTATCATATATATTATAACGTTAGCGAACAATTTTTTTATGTTTCTTTAACGTTTCGTTAACGTTAGCGATTTTTTTATGTTTCTTTTTCTCGTTTTTTTCCTTTTTCTCGTTGTATCTGTTTGCACTACTCGTTTCTAAACGCCATCGCCGTTGAAGTCGGTGCCGTCGCGAGGTTCAAAGTTGCACGATCGTGAAAGGAGGAACGGTGCTGATTTTCCCGCAGCGCGAAACACGCTGCCTCGCCGTGAGTTCTCCGGCATGAATATCGAGAGTTTCTCGCGGCGGCGAACGCACTGTGCGACCTGTGCGTGCCGGCTGCACCGCCGCTAACGCATAACGCCCCGATTCGAGAATGCAACGACTCGAAATAACAACTCGCAAATCAGTTCTAGACTCTCTGTCTTCGCGCAAGAACGTGCAATTCTGTGTTCACGATAACGTCATATGTATGTATGTGGCTTCACAATCTCATTCATGGCATTGTTTCATATATTATCATTAATTATCGTTAATCATTACCTTATCATAAATTAATACCACCGTTACGCCGGCGCTGTCATCAACGCATCATTATTATCACATACAATACGCACTGGGAGAACTAAAGTTATACTTATCGTTGGCCCCAACACCATAGTTTTTGGTTGTTCTAACACAGAAGTGCTGGCAGTAACAACGCATATAAGGATACTATCACTAACACTGTAGCGGAATATTTAATTAAAAAAAAAAAGTTGTTCTCCAGAGACCAAGATTGTTTCTCCATGCGCATTATAGTCACAAATACCAGACATTTTTCTCAGAGTACGCGTCTGTGCGCTGCGTGCACGTTACGTTTACCGAAGAAAAATCTGATTTCATGAGCGTAACGGAATTTGATCGGCGTTAACCTTGATCGCGCGCACCACGTGCACGCGACAATAGCCGGAGACGCGGGCTTTACACGCCTCGCGATCGTAGATAATTACGTAGATTGCGGGGATAGAATTACGATAGCTCGTTTTCAGTCGCATGGCGTGTATTCGCGTACATACTCGGAAAGAACGATAACGATCGTTTCGAAGCGACAGGCGGCCGACCGGACGGACGGACGAACGGACGAACGAACGAACGAACGAACGAACGAACGAACGAACGAACTCGTGGGATATATCAGACTCGCTCGTGATACGTGGAAGAATCACGGCCGTTGGGCACCCTATTGAAATTTCGGTGCCCGCGCGCGGCCGTGTGCGTGCGTGCGTGTGTGCTGCGTGTGGTGTCTGAATACCGATGACGGTGCATCGGGAATCGTACGCTATCTTCTGACCGCGCGAGACTGCCGCGGCGGTATCTATTGCGTTTCTCTCTGTGACGTTCAAATCTTAACCCTCCATTGCCCTCGCTCGACTGACGAACGTTGATGCTTTCGTATGAGTCAAAAACTGCCGCGCCTGTTATTAATTACATGCAAATTGTATTATTATTATTATATTAATAATTAGCATTATGAAAGCGAGTCGGTATATTAAAATCATTGGTTTATTGTCGATCCCGTGAGAGTACAGCTTAAATTCAATAACAGTGCGAGTCGCATGATGAAATTCACGTGTTTCTCGATATGAGCGCGCTTACTAATACACTTTTATAGTCTATTGACTGAGAGTTATATTAACAAAATTGAGAAATTCGATCATACAAATGTTCGCGTGGACAAATATAATAGAAACATTTGTCCGGGAAACTCGCCTCGCACGTCTGGAGTTTCCAGCGCACCTGATATCGGTTCGGTGTGTCGTTTAAATGACCGCGTAATAGCGCGCGTCTAAAGGTCAAAGAACGCACGTCTCTCCGATATCCTCGCATCGATGCGACGGCGAGAGTTGCGAGGAGTGGAGAGAGACGGGAGAGAGAAAGAGGAAGAGAGAGAGAGAGATCAATTCTCCCTCGTCTCTTCTCCAGCGAGAGAGACATTTAGCCGAGCCCGTGCATATCGCGCGCGTGATTTCCATAACGGCCGACCGGAGCCAGTCCTAGTCCACCTCCACCTCCTGCTACTCCCACCCTCGTCTCTTTCCACCTCGCCGGTGCATGACCTATCCCCCGGCGGTAATTATGGCACAGTCGCGATTCTGTTCCGCGGCCTAGCCACAAAGTAGAATGCGGCATCACGTGGACCGCGCTCGCCGCGCGCTCTTCGGCCATACGTCATTACCTGAAGACCTATCTCTCGTCTTCGTCGTCTACCTCGTCTCTCGAGAAACGGCAGCGAGAGACTGCGTGAACAATCATCCATGCGGCAGCACGGATTTCGGTCGCTTTCAACCCCCGTCGTCACCATTTAGTATCTCGTATCCTGCACCCCCTTCCGCTCTCTCCTTCTTTCTCATTCTTGTTACAAGTCTCAGAATCTCTCGGATTTCTCTCCTTGTCATCCTCCACGCTCGCTCTGTACACGGGACTTAATGGTATAGTCAGGCGACGTCGACGCCCGCCGCGCCATCACCCCACCACCTCTTCCTCCTTCGCCGCTGCGTATTTCGCTCCTCGTTCTTCCCGAATTCGTCTTTCTCTACATGCCCCCTTCGTCCTCCTGTACTCCTCACTCGGAGAGTCACCCTCTTCCTCTATCTCTGTTAGACCATGATAGAGCCACGACGAGAGAGGACGACGTACAGACTGGACGTATACGCGCGCGAATACGAGGTAGTGGTGTTGGTGATGGTGTGGGCACTGCGAGGCGCGCGAGCGCGCACTCGCGCGCACACAGAGGAGCGTAACCTTTCCTTGACCCGCATACTGAACGGCTGTGCCGAGGCTCGAACCGTGGGAACACACTACTCGACGACTCATCCCCCACCGCTCAGCCAGAATTCTACCTCCTCCTCCTGCTCCTTCTTCTCCTTCTCTTTCTCCTACCTCCGTCTACGTCGGTCCCGCGTGTCTCTCTCTCTCTCTCTCTCTCTCTCTCTCTCTCTCTCTCTCTCTCGCGCGCTCGTTCGCATCCCGGGCCCCCTTCTCCCCTCTTCCACTTCTCGGTGGCTGGTTCTTCAGGCTCGCACCACCTTCGGTCCCCCTCTAGGCCCCTCTCTCTTTCTCTCAGCGCACCGTGCGCACCCCGCGCGCGCGCGCGCGCGCGCGGTACTGCGGAGCTGTTTCTCGGCGCGTATTCGTATAATGCACACGTGCTTGACGCTCGTGTGTGCGCGTGCATACGTGCGCTCATACATACACACGCGCAAACACACACGTCGCACGTGAAACACACTCGTGTAGCATCCTCTTTTCATTCCATCTCTCGTTTTATCCTACTCCCTTACTCCGCCGACCTTTCTCCCTTCTTCTTCTTCTTCTTCTTCTTCTTCTTCGTTCCTCCGCGAAGCGTAACCCCCGCATGTAATGGCCGACCGCGGCGTATCCTCCTCATCTCCTGGCATGCCACCCTCTCACCCTGCTCGGCGTTCATCTCTCTTCACCGGCTTTATCCACCTTTAAGATATTCCCTGTCGCTGCCCCTTCCCCCGTCTCCTCTTCGGTGATCCTTCGTCCCCCTCCTCGCGCGTGCGAGGGGCCGCGAATCTTTTCTTCCTTCGATTCGCTCGAGAAGTCTCCTCGCCGCCGTCCTTTCCTCTCTATCTCTTTCTCGCGTCTGCCTTTCGTGTACGTCGCGCGCACATCCGCGCGTTTCCCGATGCTTCGTTGCCGACCTCTGTCCTCCTTCGCGCTCGTCCTCCCTCTTGCTCCCCCTGTACCCTGCCGCTCTCTTCGCGAGAGTCCTCCTCGTGCACTGGGATTCGGCCGCGACCCTCTTCTTCCTTCTGCCCGGTTCGGTCGCGCGACTGCCTTCCGTCCGTCGCGGCGCGGTGAAACTCGCCTCGTGACTCGTGACCCGGCTAGAGGGGCCGGCAGAGGGGAAGTATGGAAGTACGAAGACCCGAACTTCGTCCCGAAGACCTCGGTCGCGACGCGATCTAATAGGTCTAACGGAGTGCGCATCGCAAGGAGACGATGAATCCCCGCGCGCTTCGACTTCGGTAACTGTGCCTAGACGGAATCTCGACAGTACGTATCGCTCACGAGAAAGAAGATTTATCGCCGTGGATGACTCAGCCTTCGTAGAAGTGCGCATGACACACCTCCTGCGTCCTACGTCCACTTATCCTTCCTACCTATCCTAGGTATGTATGTTACACACGTCACCTTCTCAACGATACCGTCCTAATTCGTATCCGCGCGATCTAACATTCCGCTTACTCAGGAGGAAACGTCCCACCTTCCTGTTGCAGATGCCACAGCGGCTGGAAGGGTTCACTGTGCAATCAGTGCGTAAGGTACCCGGGCTGCCTCCACGGTAGCTGCCAAAAGCCCTGGGAGTGCGAGTGTGACGAGGGTTGGGGCGGGCTGTTCTGCAACCAGGACCTCAACTATTGCACGAATCACAAGCCTTGCATGAACGGCGGCACCTGCTTCAACACCGGCCAGGGCTCATACACCTGCTCGTGTCCGTCAGGTTTTACCGGCACCGACTGCCAGACGCCGCTCTTCGACTGTCACTCGAAGCCATGCTTGAACGGCGGTACCTGCACGTCGGAATCGTCCGGGAGCTACGTCAACGGAAGCATTTCGTCGTCATCGTCACCGTCATCGTCGTCACACATTACTGGAAGCAACGGCGGCAACAGTGCTCTGGAATCGTCCTCCTCCTCCTCCTCCTCCTCCTCCTCCTCGAGGCAGCATCATCATATCACCAGCTACCGTTGCACCTGTCCGCCTGGTTGGCGCGGCAGACACTGTGAGATCACGACGAGATCTTGCCGGGATTCACCCTGCCATCACGGCGCCACCTGCGAGGACGACTCTATGCGCGGATACGTGTGCCGCTGCGCGCCCGGCTACACCGGCAACGATTGCGAGTCGCAGCTCGACGAGTGCGCGCCGAACCCGTGCACGAACGGCGGCACCTGCACGGACTATGTGAACGGTTTCCGGTGTACCTGCCCGGCTGGCTTCACCGGCGAACGCTGCGAGATCAACGTGGATGACTGCCTGGGCGACCCATGCCTGAACGGCGGCACCTGCGTGGACCTGGTGAACAGCTTCCGCTGCCAGTGCGTGCCGGGATACGTCGGACGGCTCTGCCAAGACAAGGTGGACTACTGCCTGGCGAAGCCGTGCGCCAACGGCGGCAGGTGCATTTCGGGGACCAACGATTACCGTTGCGTATGCAAACCTGGCTTCACCGGCAAGGACTGCAGCGTGGACGTGGACGAGTGCCGAAGCGCGCCTTGTCAGAACGGTGGCACGTGTCTGAACCGTGTCAACGGTTTCCTCTGCGACTGCCCGCCAGGATGGCACGGCAATACGTGCGGTGAGGAGGTCGGTGCCGCCGGCTCGGCTGTTTTACCGTCCGCGGCAGCGTCCTCGAACACCGGCTCGATCGTGCCACCCGCGGTGCCACCCTCGGGAGCCAGCTACTGGTCTGGCAATCTGTCGAAGCACGTCGCTTCAGCGGAAGCGCGGAACGCCGGCCTTACCACGGAACACATAGTGATGATCGCGACTATCTCCACCGCGGTGCCGCTTTTCGTGCTGGTCGCCATCGTCGCGGTGATGTGTATGAAGAGACGGCGGAAGCGGGAACAGGCGAGAGCCGATGAGGAGGCCAGGCTGCAAAATGAGAGGAACGCGGTGCACAGCAGTATGAGCAAACGCAGCGCGAGCACCATCGGCATCGGCGGCGTCGGCAACGGCGGCGGTCTCCTCGGCAGCGCTGCCAGCAGCGGCCTGATCGGCGCCGGCAGTGGCAGCGTCTGCGCCTTGGGTGCCGGCGACGCGCACATGATCAAGAACACCTGGACAGCGAACAAGAGCGTGAACAACGTGGCCTCGCGGCAGGACGACCTCGACTCGTCCTTCCAGACCGACGTGACGCTCGACAGTGCCTGCTCGGGCTACAAGCCGGAGCCGGTGCTGCAGGATGGCAGAACGACAAGGACTACGAAACAGCTGAACACGGAAGCAGCCGCGCATAGGGCGTCGGCTCATCTCTTCCAGAAGGAAAAAGACTGTCTCGGCCTGGGCCTCGGCATCGGGGTCCTCGAGAGTGCCAAGAGGTCATCCATGTTCGCCACCGGCAACGCGCCGGACGTCTGTTGCGCCGCGGAGGCCGCGCTGCTCAAGAGGCCGACGACGATATCGGAGGTCGCTGGCGGCGGCGGCGGCGGCGGCGGTGGTAGTGGTGGTGGTGGTCCACCGGGAAGCGGCGGTGTCACGGACAACAACAGTTGCGGTGTGTATGTGATAGACGATCATTACAGGCATGACGCCGCGCTGGCGGCAACGCTCGCGACGGAAGTGTAGTAGCGGCCGGACGCCGGACTTCGTAGTAGACTCCGTTAGAAATTATAGAAAGAGTGTGAGAGAGCGAGAGAGCGAGAGAGAGAGAGAGAGAGAGCGAGCGAGCGAGCGAGCGAGCGAGAGAGAGAGAGAGAGAGAGAGAGAGAGAGAGAGAGAGAGAGAGAGAGAGA